CACTCATGATAAAACCCATACGACCACTAAAAAAGCCACTTATCAGAGCACCGGGAGACGTGGAATGTAATAATCCCCACTGCGGAACCAAGTACGCTTCTGCTTGGCGTACCAATCCGGAAGGTGGCTGGCTGTGTAATGCGTGTGGTATCTTGTAAGTATCGGTATACCGGAGGCGCTTCCCTGAGACATTGCTTAACCTATAGGAAAATACGTTTTATATTCCACAGCATTAGAACAAAAGGTTTCCATAGACCTCCGGAGGTGATTAACCGCGTATACAAGACCGCGATAACCACGCAAATAGCTCCCAAAAAGGATAGCCTTCGTAAGGTAATGGGCAAAGACGATATCTTTGAATTTTATGTGTGTATATGCTAAACCAACTTTTCACCTTTCAGCGCAAAAATCCCGAAACCAACGTCGCCGTGAACGCGCGAAGCAAGGTATTCTTGTTTTGCTCTAATTAATTTATAAATTTAATTGTCCTAATTAAAATCCGACGCATTTAGAAAAAAAATGTGACATCCAAAAGATCAAATTCAGAGAGTGTTATAGAAACGCGCGCCAAGGTAACAAGGAATTGCTAATAAATCCTTAATAAAATTCCACTGCGCTTATGCTTTTGACACTAAGTCCTCATTAACAGAAGAAAATGCGAGAATTTTTGGATGATGGTTATAATGACGATGATGATGATGACACGGATGACTTCTCGCAAACGCAGGACGAACCCTTACCATGGAGTCGTAAAGAATATCTGAAGTGCGGGTTGTATTCAATGGACCTTAAGGTTAACAAATCTACGAAAAGGAATTCAAAGGAAACAGTAAAAGAGGTATCATCAGAAGTTTTTCCGCTTCCCGTTCAATATGGTCAATTCCTTATGACGGAAAGAAGGGATTTTCGTTTGCCTTGGGACATAATGACTGCCCATAAATTAGGATTGTTACAACGAGAATACAAAAAAATTCAAACGAGTATGTCAATCGCAATATCCGAAATTCGTTTCGAGCATTCTCGATGTCAAGTAATTTCATAGCTTCCTCATCATCTTTTATTCAGACATATACATAGATCGTAAGCGTAAAAATGAAAAACCTGTTATATGCGACTGCAAACCGCCCAGTGATGGCGGACCCGGTTGTACTGAAGACTGTTACAACAGGTATATAAAGAGTTT